TTTCCGCCGGCAGCAGGGCCGCTGGTTGGGTTCACACTGCTAACGACGGGAGCAGCTATATAGGTATAGGTAGGGCCACTGGTACTAGTACCGCCAGGTCCGGTGACACGGACAGAGACGCTGCTGCCACCACTAGGGCCCGGGGGAGCAACAGCGGTTATCAGTGTGGCAGAGACCACAGTGAATGAGGTGGCAGCAACTGAGCCGAAAGCCACAGCCGTGGCGTTTGTGAAACCAGAGCCGATGATGGATACAGTATTTCCGCCGGCAGCAGGGCCGCTGGTTGGGTTCACACTGCTAACGACGGGAGCAGCTATATAGGTATAGGTAGGGCCACTGGTACTAGTACCACCAGGTCCGGTGACATGGACAGAGACGCTACCGCCACCACTAGGGCCTTGGGGAGCAACAGCAGTTATCAATGAGGCTAAGACGACAGTGAATGAGGTGGCAGCAAGTGAGCCGAAAGCCACAGCCGTGGCGTTTGTGAAACCAGAACCGAAGATGGATACAGTATTTCCGCCGGCAGCAGGGCCGCTGGTTGGGCTCACACTGCTGACAACGGGAGTAGCTAGGGTGGCCACCCCATTGTAGTTGTATGATGGACTGCCACTGAGACCAGCGCCGTTGGTCGTACTGACCATTGTGCCTGTTGTTACACCTGCTAGCGCAACTTCAGCAACCTGAGTGTTAAGCTGAAAGAAATGTAGTGGTGTACGTAAGTTCAAACAAGCTCACTGCTCTGTTTTGAAGGTGAGGAGAAATGAACTGGATGGCATTGCTTCCGTTAAGTACACGTAAAGATAAATAATATTTGCAAAATAATGGCGATAATCACAACGAGTTGTGAAAGCAGGCGGTCATACGACGGGAGCCAGGTTAGTCTCGTTCCATGACATTGCCCTCGAGGGTCGAGATGCGTCAGTCTGCTGTCACATTTCTGATCTAGCTATGGAATTGCTGACGCTGAGACAAGAGTAACACGACCCCATGACTATGGCTGCGAGTGTCGAGATGCGTCAGTCTGCTGTCACATTCTTGATCTAGCTATGCAATTGCTGACGCCTAGGCAAGAGTAACACGACCCCATGACTATGGCCTCTAGTGTCGAGATGCGTCAGTCTGCTGCCACTTTCCTAATCTGGCTATGCAATTGCTGACGCCTAAGCAAGAGTAACCCGACCCCATGACTATGGCCTCTAGTGTCGAGATGCGTCAGTTCTACTGCCACTTTCTAGATCTAGCTATACTATTGCTGACGCTAAGGCAAGAGTAATCTAACCCTATGACGTGGCCCTCGAGCCCTATCCCTACACCCACGGCCCCTCTACCCACAGCCCTCTACCTGCACACCCCCCATATTAGACATGTGCCGCTTGGCCCCTGGTTTCCCCAGATTTCTAGTCCTCATCCCGGTCATTTCCGGCCTTCCAACAATCGGTTAGTATCTGGTATGGACGGTTGCCCGCCGAGGTCCGTCATCCCCGTACCATAGTCTACTCAGGCCTTCGGTCACCCTACATTGCACCACCAATGCAATGAACGCACCTTTTTTCAAATGGTACACGATAGGGGTCCAACCCCAGCCTTGACCAGCACTACTTATCCTAGAACCACCGTGATTCTAGGACGTAAGTCTTAGTACCTAAAAGGTTCTAGAACTCGCTTGGCCTAGGGACCCTGTTTTAGAAGGTGGAACTGAGAGAGCAATCATTGATTTGTGTTTAATCTGAGTTCGTTTCTCCTCGCTAAGAATATAATGGTAACTGGTGGGTGCCCCCGACTGTTTCGAACGGACCGCCATTCCGCCTTACGGAACAAGTCGGTCTAACCCAAGCAGGATGTCTGTCCGCTGGTGAAGAGGTTGTCGTGTATCAAGCCTCACAAAAAAAGCAAGCGACTGAAAAATGTGCGACGCAGAATTTTTTCTTTAAGTATACGACCTCAGGCGGTGGATCAGACTTTTATATTCTTAGCCGATGCATCGGGCTTCCTGGTGTTCCTTGCCTCGCGATACATATGTCTCGGGAAACATCCCATCTTACGAGGGAGGGATATTGACTTCTTCAGTATTATTATTACCAAGCTTCAAGCAACAAGATAGAGCAGGACCTTGAGGGGGTGCATAGCGGACCTAAGTTCAAGAATAGCGAACTTCAACAGGGGGGTAAATTATGGCTGCCAGCATGGTTAGCAAGTTTCCTCGAAGCCAACTGTCGTTGGAAGTTACTGTCACAATTAGGTCATTATTCAAATTCCGCCCGTTCAATGGTTATCTTTGAAATATGGGAAGAAAGTCGTGGTATCCATTGTCCGCCTACCTGTTCCGCGCTTTAGCCGATTTATTCGAGTAATCTATTGTGTCAAACATATTTTACAGCGCGAAATGGCACTATTTCCTCCACGTCGCATCAATGACGGAGTAAGTCTCAGGAGGCAAATAGGGTAGTATGTGCCTAGCTATAGGTTGTGCGCATAATTTGACCTTTCTACATGCAATCTTCTTGGCCACAGTAAACGGCTTTCCAGTGTAGGATTCAGAGAGTTTCCCAGATATCGACTTTATGGGATCTAACTACGACCTTCCAGCCATGAAAGGAAGCTCCAGCAACCGTTCTTTTCAGAAACTCTGGGACTCAAGAAGTTGGTTTGAAAGGCGCTACGGGCTAAAATTCTGCAAGGGAGTAGCTTGTCGTCGTTTCTTGGGTGTTTGTGGGAGGCGGCTTGGGATGCGGTCGATGGTGGGTCCGTTCTCGGTCCGCCGCTAGTTCCCGCAGGGCGCCAATTATGTGCAGCCCACTAATTACGCCACACGATAGCCGGGACGCTTATATTATCCGCCCACCCAAATGGGTCACAACTTTGCTCCAAGGGGCTTGGGTTGCGTCGATCGTGGGTCTGTCCTCGGTCCGCCGCTAGTTCCCGCAGGGCGCGAATTACGTGCAACCCACTAATTACGCCACACGATAGCCGTGGGACGCTTATATTATCCGTCCACCCAAATGGCTCACAACTTTGCTCTAGGGGGCTCGGGTTCAGAAAACGGAAGATAATTTACTGAAATCAATCCATCTGCGAAATGAACCATCACGCTTATTGCTGTAAACATCCAAAGTACCTAGATATATCTTCCCTGTGGGGCAAATCCCTCGAAATAAAGAGATGCAATCTAGTTCTAAGTCAGCCTATACCCGATTTAGTTATTAACAGAAGGTAGTGCTTAGTGAGCCCTGTACTCATACCTAGCATCGTATTAGGCTCACGCGAAGGATTTCTAATCACGCACCCATTTTGATCGTAGATAAAAGCCAACTCTTCTTGCAAAGGTTAGATACGTGCTGCACATACCTCAGTAAACAGTATAGTGCGTTGCTGTAGGCCAAATAGATGAACAGTAAATGTTTGCTCCTCAAGAATAGCCTCTTCAAGGAGATAGACGCGCGGCAGTATGATTAGATGCCCCTTCCAATTATCGAATTCAGTAAGTCTGTAGACTACGGATGCTGAGGGTCGGAACAGGGCATCTAGGCTTCATGGAAACCATTTTTATAGCCTCCCGAGGAGGCTTATAGGAATTCTGGTCTATTTGTCTCTAAAGGAATGAAATGAAAACAAGTTCCAGGGTAGTAAATGCCTAGTCTCTTCGTCGCAATCTTTGTGCGTGTACTTAATTGGCACGCATAATATATATAGTGTAAGCTTTCTACTATGTGACCGACCCCCTTTCTCATACCTCGCACTTACTTATCCATGAATTATCCGTGAGTGGAATGCTGATTTTCATACCAGTGTATTGAGATCTATCCGTAGTAACCTGGAGGGAGCGTCTTCTTCGATTTGTCTATATATAGCAAGATATGTAAAGATCGACAGAAATCGCTCGGAGGTTTTGTTCCATTTTGTTCCATTTTGTACTATCATCGGCTTTGTTATCACTTGCTACTGTCCTTGACATCCAGCTCGAGCTGTCGGACTTATTTCTCCTATCCAAACTAAGCCCAATTTGCAAAATGAAGTCCACTTTTGCGAGTGCCTTTACTCTTCCTTTCGCCGCTGCTGCTCTGCATGCGGAGCATTTCTCGGGCAACAGGCATGACCTGACCCCCATGTAGCAGAAGTGTGGCGGTTTGACTATTTCTTGCTGCACGCAAGTGGTTGACGAGTGAAACGGCAGTTCGGACGGTGACCTTGGTTTGCTCAGCACTATCACCGAAACATTGACCGGTAAGTCCTCGCTCTCCAATCCCGTCTGCGGGGCTTCCGGATTGTCTGTTGGGACCCTTGTCGGCAACCTCTTGGGTATCTCCCGTTTGTTCTCTTCCCTCTTTCTTCCTTCTCTCGCCTGCGTTTGCCCGGAGACGAAGATTACGGACGGCTGATTGAAAATATCCAGCCAATGAGCAGCTTCGTAACATTCCGAACGTGACCTAAGCTTGCTGCAACAACGGGAAAGAGGTAAATCTACCGCTGTCTTTTAACATATATAAACACTGATAGCCTGACCAATAGTGCCAAGGAATTTGACAAGTCATGCCTGTCGATACTTCCCCTAAGCGCCATAACTAGGGCGGTGTGCACGACATATAGTCGGTTCAGCCGCTGTTTTCGCAGAAAACGAGGAAAAGCTCCGTATTGAAGCCGTTACGGGGGATGACGACGTTACAGCCCAATAGCATTACTGTCGGTGGGAATTCCCTGGTTGATCTGATGATTCTTAAATGGTCGTCCACTCTTGTTTTTGTTTTGGCTTTTCTTTCATATTACGTCTTTAATCGGCAATAGTCAGAACGCTTACTTTAGATATCCGGAATGCCACTATTTCTTCGTGGAAATTATAGTCCCCTCCGTACTGGTAGAAGTGCACCGCTATAGCCTGTTCCCTTTAGTCATGGAATAATAATAACCAGGAAACCGAGCCTGCATAACATGGCGAAATGATAGAATCACACAGAGAGTATCGAAGGATTCGACATTAGAACCTTCACAACGGCGAGATCCTTTGCCCAGGGTAGACCTCGGCACAGCCCATGGGAGGCCTCTATAGTGTACCATTTAATGAAAGGTGCGTTCGTTGCATTGTTGGTACGATGTAGGGTGACCGAAGGCCTGAGTAGACCACGGCATAGGGATGACCGACCTCGGCGGGCGACCGTCTATACCAGATACTAACCGATTGTTGCAAGGCCGGAAATGACCGCGACGAGGACTAAAGATCTGGGAAAACCATGGACCATGTGGCACATGTCTAATATGGGGGGTGTGCAGGTAGAGGGCTGTGGGTGGAGGGGCCGTGGGTGTAGGGCAGGGGCTCGAGGGCCACCGTCATAGGGTTAGATTACTCTTGCCTCAGCGTCAGATAATTGCACCACCAGATCTAGAATGGGGCAGTAGACTAACGCATCTCGACACTCGCGGCCATGGTCATGGGGTCGGGTTACTCTTGTCTCAGCGTCAGCAATTGCATAGCTAGATCAAGAATGTGACAGCAGACTGACGCATCTCGACACTCGCGGCCATGGTCATGGGGTCGGGTTACTCTTGCCTAGTCGTCAGCAATTGCATAGCCAGATTAGGAAAGTGGAAGCAGACTGACGCATCTCGACACTCGAGGCCATAGTCATGGGGTCGGGTTACTCTTGCCTAGGCGTCAGCAATTCCATAGCTAGATCAGAAATGTGACAGCAGACTGACGCATCTCGACCCTCGAGGGCAATGTCATGGAACGAGACTAACCTGGCTCACGTCGCATGACTGCCTGCTTTCACAACTCGTTGTGATTATCGCCATTATTTTGCATATATTATTTATCTTTACGTGTACTTAAAGGACGCAATGCCATCCAGTTCATTTCTCCTCAACTTCAAAACAGAGCAGAGAGCTTGTTTGCACTTACGTACACCACTACATTTCTTTCAGCTCAACGCTTGATTATCCTGATCAACAATGTCTGCACCTACTATTACTAGAATTAGTCCTACCTCGGGCCCTAATTCTGGCGGCACAACTGTCCTTATCACTGGCACCAATCTGGCCACCCCCACAACAGTTACGTTTGGCGGCACTGCTGCTACCGTTAACTCAAGCACCGCCACATCGATCTCCGTCGTATCTCCAGCTCATGCTGCCGGTGCAGCCCGGGTTGTGGTAACCACTGCAGGCGGTACCAGCACCCAACCAGTGAATTTCACTTATATCACTGTTGCTGCTCCTGTCATTACTTCCATTTCTCCAACTAGCGGGCCAGTATCAGGTGGGAACACTGTTACAATCAATGGCACAAACCTTCAGTTTACTACTGGTGTCACCTTCGGTACTACTGCTGCCAGCAGCTTCGCTGTCCTTTCCTCTACTCAAGTTGCTGCGGTCGCCCCAGCAGGTACAGCAGGAAACTCAACGGTCAGTGTGACCAATGCAGCCGGTACCAGTGGCACTATTCCATACACCTATAATGGGGTAGCAGCTCCTGTCGCCAACAGTGTGAGCCCTGATACCGGCCCTACTGCAGGCGGAAATACTGTGGTCATCAGTGGCACTGGTTTCACGTACGCCTCGGCTGTGAGATTTGGCTTAACTCCTGCCACCTCATTCACTGTGGTCTCCAGCACAGTGATAAACGCGGTCGTTCCACCAGGTGGCGGCGCCGTCAATGTTTTCGTCACCGGACCTGGTGGTACTAGTACCGGTGGCCCTACCTATACCTATGCAACTGATCCAGCGCCTACCATCACAGGGCTTACCCCAGCAGCGTCCGGGCCGGTATCTGGTGGGAATACTGTAACCATCGCGGGTTCGAACCTCAACGGTGCCACAGCAGTTACGTTCGCTGGCATTGCAGCCAGTTCTTTCACCATCTTATCACCCACTCAAATAACCGCTGTCACTCCAGCAGGTACTGCTGGGACTGCCTCTGTACTAGTCACAACACCTGCTGGTACCAGTACAGGATTCGATTACACTTACATTGCTGCACCTGCACCTACAGCGGTCGTTTCTTCTGAAGGCGTCGCAGCTGGCGGCAATATTGTTACCATCACTGGCACTAATCTCGACGGTACCACCGGTGTGAAATTCGGAACCACCACTGCAAGCTTTACAGTTGCTAGCGACACTGAAGTGGATGTCGTCACACCTGCACACGTTGTTGGCATGGTTCCTGTCAGTATTACCACACCAGGCGGCACAAACAACTCGCTTAGCTTCAGCTTCGTGCCGTCTCCAGTTATTGGTTCTGTCACTCCTGCTTCCGGACCGATTGGCGGGGACACTGTTGTGACCATCACCGGGGCAGGCTTGATCAATACCCTTGATGTATTCTTTGGGACAACTGCAGCAACCGCCTTTACCGTTATCTCTGACAATACGGTAACTGCAACCTCCCCTGCTGGCGCAGCAGGGACTACTGCTCTGACAGTTGACACCGCTTCTGCCACCAGCAACGGCGCCATATTCCAATATGTTGACGCACCGACCCTTACAAGCTTGTCGCCTACTGGCGGAGCCATCGCGGGCGGCAATAATGTGACTCTTACTGGAACGGGCTTCTTGGCAGCCACTGATGTGTTCTTTGGAGCCAACCCAACTGTATTCACTATTCTCAGTGACAGCTCAATCAGTGCAGTTGCACCTTCCGGGGTTGGAGCCGTTGAAGTCACGGCTGTAAGCCCTGGAGGTACTAGTGGTGCTCAGACATACACTTACTCTTAAAGCATCCTGTTGGCGTACCAATGACTTATTGGTGATGAACGCAATGTGGAGCTAATTTTTATTGTCGGAATTGAAGAGAGATGCTTTGACTAAGCGAAAGCCCATGTCGGAGTGAATGCTGCAGTGGACGCGTGGCTTTTGTTATTCCATGATACTTCTTGCTTTTGTACTCAGGTTCCCTTACAAATTGCCAGATTTAGGGAGATAGTTATGCCAATTGTTTTGACCTATGTTGGCTACCGTATCGTATCATACTCGCGACACTCCATGGAAAGCCACGTAATTTCCTTCTGTGAACAGTAGACCTTGTCTGGTAAAATGGAGAAGAATCTTACTATTTGTTTCATCCAACACCCACTGCTTCAGGGCTTCTTGATTCCCAAGGTATCAACTGCCGGATCAGCACAAAGGAGACCCTTTATTTTCCTATCGGAATTATATAGGAAAACACAGCGAGGTTACGAACGATTATCTCCTGGGCGGAGGACTTTACAGAGTATGCGGAGGTAAATATATCCAAAACACTGATCTCAGGGTGACGAACGCCGAACTTGAGGAGAAATGCAGACGCATGTCAGAAGCTCTTTACAGGAGGAAAGAAACAAGCAATAACGATAGTTCATTGGTTGAGAGACGGACAGGGAAGGAGAGAAGCTCCGACCCATCAAGGACTAATTACTCTCAGGACCATCCAGGGTCACATGACCAACCAGGTCATGTGATCTTTAACAATTTCAGGGTCTACGTGGGGTGCATCCCTGATGTCTATGCGTAAGCTCTATCAGGCTGTCAATGTACCACAAGCCTTATGGGGTATTTCTGCCTGGTACTGCCCTGCCGCGCGCCAGATGCCAGCCTGGGAAATGGCTCGACTGGTCAATGAGCTTATAAAGCTTCAAAAGCGCGCGGCGATTCTGATTGAGTGGAGCTTTCAAGAGCATCTCCACTGCCGCGCTCGACATCGAACTCTTCCTACTACCCATGAAGTTACGCCTACAACAAAGCATTGAAGAATGCGCCATTCGCATTCTCACTGGACCTCAGTGGGCCTCTCCCCGTTCGGCAAAAATAGGCAGGAAGCCGGCTGAACGCCGAGAAGGTGGATGGACACCTCTGGAAGCACTGGTTTGGAAGAAGGGACCGCTTAAATCGAGCATAAAGAACAAGGACTGTGCGGAGAAATGGGAGGAAAAGGTTGCATTTGTACTGCCACCCTGGGAGAGACGAATCTCATGCTTTATGGAACCCTCGGAGGCTGCATTAGCAACCCATGACTCTATTATCCAACGAAAGAGGACACAGGAAGGAAGTGAGACCTTCTCAATAACATACACTGACGGCAGTGGCCTCGAAGGCCACATTGGTGCAGCTGCCGTCAACATCCATGACGGGGATACCGTCATCTCCGACCGCAGACATCTCGGTACAGAGAGCCAGTCCACGGTGTACGCTGCCGAGTTCAGCGGCATCGAGATGGCATTGGCTAGGACCATCAGCGACAACAAGGCCAATACAAATATCATTGGATCAAAGCGAAAAGTAGAGTGGCCAAGTAAGAAGACCCTGCGTCTATACGAATGCCTATCGAAGCCAGGGTCTTCGATCATGATACAACTAAGGTCGATGCGCATCGCGCTAAGACACTTCTTGTACAAGATCAATGAAGTGGAGTCCGACAAATCCCCCTGTGGAGAGGGCTCTCAAACGCCGAAGCATGTTTTGCTTCAATGTGAGACCTTGGGCGAGTTAAGAAAAAGGGGCTTTTTGTTGAGATCACATGACCAACCAGGTCATGTGACCTTGGATGGTCCTGAGAGTAGTTAGATAGTCCTCGAAGGGTCGGAGCTTCTCTCCTTCCCCGTTCGTCTCTCAACCAATGAACTATCGTTATTTTTTGTTTCTTTCCCCCTGTCAAGAGGTTATGACCCCTCTGCTCGATTTTTGAGGTTATTCACAAGCACGCCAAGCTTTACGGTCCAACCAGGGCCGCCAAGCAAGCCGTGTCGCTGCCGGTGGGTCTGATAAACCTATCGGAAGCCTTAAAGCAGCCCCACCCCTGAGCACCCCACACCTCCGAGCCCTACCTACGAATACGAAGAAACAAAGAAACAAAGAGAGAAGCATCAGACATCATGTCCGATGCCGCCGCCATGGACCGCGGTAGAAATGAAAGAAATACCCCGGGTGACGACTCGAGGTACCCTGAATTAGATGTCGGAGACACCTTCGACATTGGTGACGAGCCAGTAGGCGCAGCTGCAGGCGTCGTTCATCATCAAGGCTCACGCCTACCAAAACCGCCAAAGTGTGATCTATCTGCTATCGAAAAACTGTCTAGTACGGAGACCGATCCGACTGAATGGATGATGCAAGTGGAGGACACGCTAGAACCAATGATACTCGGAGACTTAATCAACCTATCGTTGCCTCGGCCAGAAATCGATGACCCATCTTACCGTAGATGGTCATACTGGTCAGCATCAGTAGGAAGATTGATGGGCCTCTAGGTAGACAAAGATACAAGAACTCGCCTCGCAGGCCTCGCAGAGAGACCAAAGATGGCCGATATTCTTTTTGATGAGCTCGTTAGCTATGCGCGGGGAGGAGAGAGATCAGACAACCTGATGATCGACATTTACAAGCTCGCGGACATGAAGAGAGAGCACTTTAGCTCCGCAGAGGAATACATCACGAGTTATCAGAGGCAGATCAGCGTCCTACGCCGTGTCAAGCTAGCGCCATTGCCATTTCACGCCATTGCAATAATGCTCCGTGAGGTCGAGGAAGAGCTCCCGGGCATGGCTTTTATGAAGGAGGCATTGCAAAAAGTGGCGAATCCACAAGAAATGACTCAGGAAGAGTTCGACAGGAAATGCAAGGAAATGCTGATTAAGGCACGTCAACTTGCTGTCTCTATCTCAACCAACTAGATTAGCTCGGCGCGTGAGAAATCAGCCCGCCAAGCCGACCGACGCGAGACCAGTGATCCTACGTCTCAGAAGACCTATGCTTCCGACCGACACGACTATGCCGGCCGAGGAAGAGGCCGTGGCCGTGGCCGTGGTGGATACAACCGTGGCAGCCAGCGTGGCCGTGGACGCGGAGGAGGTGGAAACAATGGATTATCGCATAAAGAGCACGCCGATCGTGGAAGCTCTTACGGCAATTTAACCGGCATCGCATCAGCCCGGAACGCATCCCCGAAAGGAAAGGATATCTACAGATACGCGAAGGAATGCCGTGAAGCTGAGAAACAACGTATCGATGGTTTTTGCAGTTTTTGCGGATTTGGGCCACATACTGCCAAGCAATGATTCTACCTCGCGGAGAACCCTGACTGCGAGTGGGACCTGCCAACAAGCTGCTAGTCTCTCTCGGTAGCGCTTCGTGACCGTAAGGACAGCAAGGGCAGAGTCTCATTGGCTATTGAAACGCTTGCCGAGGAGGATCAGACCATCACTGTTATTGAGGCTATAACTGGTTCTATTGCTGAAAAAGCGGGGGACGGTTTTTCGGCCGGAAAGGCAGGTGAAGACGGTTGGTTGCTAGATAGTGGTGCCACCAAGTCTATCACCGGCAACATCAATGACTTTGTCGAATACCACCAGTGGGACGCAGGCCAAATGCGATATGCTTACAGCGACGTCTATAGCAAGCTCACTAAGTCTAGCGGATGGGGAATACTTCTTATCCGTGCCGAGCTGCCTAACGGACGTATCAATAAAGCATTGGTGAAAGGATACCTTGACACCTCAGTCCCGATCGGCAACAAGCTGCTGTCTACCGAGCATTTAGCAAAGCATACGGAATGCATTACAATTCACGCACTAAGAAACTTGAAAATGCCGACGGATCAACCTTTGCATGTGTTAGCACCGCCTCCAGAACCCCATACATCATTGGACCGAAGAAAGGTGTAAGCTACCATAAGGAAGCTATCGGAAGTGAATCAGCTATTGTAATTGATGACCATGACATCGGGAAGGCTTTTCGACCTTTGAAAGCACTGGAAATACACCGATGCCTTAGCCACGCTGGCAAGCCAAAAGTTGCGGCTACCATAAAGGATGCCGAACTTATTTAGAAAGGTGATACTCTCGAAGATCAGGAATTTAACTACGATGCCTGCATGAAAGGCAAATCAGTCCGTGAGGTCTCGAGAACCCTACAACTTCGCTGCCAGGACGCTGCATGGAAATTCCACGTAGATACTCAGACAATGACACCTCTCGGACCCTATGGTGAGCGATATTGGGTGCCAATTGTGGATGACATGTCGAGATTTGTGGAGGGAATATTCGTGAAGAAGAAAGAAGCAATTTCTGACTATATGATCACTTTTTGTAAGCGAATTAAATTGCTTACGGGCCGCTTTCTAGGCATTTAGCGCCTAGATAATGGCACCGAATTCACCAAATTCATTAAGTGGGCAGAGAAGAAAGGCATAAAATTCGAATTCACACCTCCCTACACTGCAGAGCCCAATAGCATCATCGAGCGCACCGGCGGCTATGTCAATGAAATGGCTAGGGTAATGGTACTCGATGCCGCGCTGCCTGAGAAGCTATGGCCACGCGCTATAGATGCAGCAATTTACACTATCAACCGCCTTGCTAGCCCGAAAACTGGAAAATCGCCTATTCAGCTATGCAGGGAGAACCTCAATATCATTAATGCCAAGCCTAGTCTCACGCACCTACGACCATAGGGTAGCAAAGCTTACGCCCACATCCCTAAGGCTAAGCGAGTCTAAAGCGAGAAAATGGCTGCGAGAGCTATCGAAGTACGCGTGATGGGCTACGTCGGAGACCATGGCCACCAATTCAAAGTCTAGGATCCTGAAACTGGAAGAATCCACACCACCAGGGACGTTGGTTTCCCACAATATGGAGATGATGAAGGAAACGGCAACGGTACTGCCGCTGACACTAGCCCGAAGAAACCAATTGAACCCATCGGTAGCGGTGGCGGTAGTGCAGTGAGTGAACCACCAAATTTGGAGGAAGAGGTGAAGAAGCCGAGAATTCCGATGAAGAAAGTGGTCCGCCAGCCTCAGCAAGCTGCATTGATCACCCCGTCACCCCAGGGCCCCCCACGGGGCCAGCCTGGACGGTTGACACTCAGACGGAGACGGTGAGAGGTGAAATCCCAGCGCGTCAGCTAGGGGAGATCCCAGCGCGTCAGTCAGAAGAAATACCACGCCAGCGCAGTCAAATTGGAGGAGAACCATACGCATGGAAGACAAAGAGAGGTCCATTTCAACGAGAGACCATCTCACGGCCCGAGAGCGTCAATTTTACCCCCGAGACAACCGATGCTATCTATTACCGAGACACCTAAGATACCGGCAAAACAGCCAGTTCTACCCATTGCTAAGACCCCTAAGACGCCGGCTAGACTGCCACCGGGGCCACGGGCAATCTCACCAGCAATTCTAATCCAGCAACACACTGAAGACGCGCAGAATTCGCTAGGTCGAGCCTAGGAAGTGGCCCAGCAAATGGCTAAGAAGAAATCATTTGAAATGAAGCTCAAGGAAATCAATGAGAACCTCTCTAGGATGAGCGCTGACACCGAGAATGCTAGAAATGCTAGTAAATCCATCGAACCAGCCACCGAAAGCTCGTCAGCTGCTCCAGACTCCACACCCACTCCGGCACCCCGTCGTCAGTCACCGAAGCATCCACCGGGATTGCCAATTCCACGCGCCCATGGTGAATACAAATACCCGTTCGAATACAGCCCTATTCGTGAAGCGACGGTCATCGAGTCTGTGGAGCCGGCAAGCCGCCAAGGATCGATACAAGCACAAGGAGATATCACAACAAGCCGTGAAAGCACTGAAACAGTGACTGTGGTCGAGGATGCTAGCCAGCAACCTCAGACTATGTCTCCGAGAGAGCAAGGTCTATTAATGACTAGCGAGCAAAGCCCAATGCTAGCTCCGCAGAACATATATCTAAGCCAGCAACCTCACAGCATGTCTCTAAGCCAGCAACCTCAGTGCATGTCTCCTAGTGAGCAACGCTTGCTAGCAACCGACATGCAAGGCCAGAGCTCCGCTATGCCAATTTCCATTAGCATAAGCCCTGATCCAATCAATACAATTGAAACAACCCAACCACGCCGTTCGAAGAGATAGAATGCTGCTATACCCGGACCGGTCTACCATGACCCCGATGCACCGAGGATGAAAGCTGAGATTAGGGAACATGAATATAAAATGAGGAAGGCTGCTACGAGAGCCAACTCCGCCGCCACGGAAGGCTCCGCCGGGACAGATACTGGCAAAGCATCGATGGCCACGGAGCGTATCATAGTGAATGGAAAACCTCTCACCGCGTCGGAAATTGAGATCCCGACAACCTACAAACAAGCCGAGAAGACACCCCATTAGCAATACTGGAAGCAAGCGATAGAGGATCAAATTGAAGACCTCAATGCAAAGAATACGTACAGCTTGATCATCCGACCACGCAAGACCTAGTTGCTACTAGGCCAATGGCGATTCAGCATCAAGAAAGACGCGGAAGACTTCGTCATTAGTTTCAAAGCCCGCTAGGTAGCTTGCGGCAATTTCCAAAAGAAGGACGAAGGAGCTGATTACTACGCACCCGTTGTGGCGGAATGTTTGGTTAAAACTGTCCTATCTATCATTACTATCTACGGTTTAAAATGGCGTCAAATCGACGTCAAAGCTGCCTACCTGAATGCTTCGAGAGAGGAAGAAACGACGGTCTACATGAGACAACCGACTAGATTCGAGTATTTCGACGATGAAGGGTCCACGAATGACTAGGTCTGCGTGCTAAATCAGGCATTGTACGGCCTACGGGACTCAGCCTTCCTGTGGAACCAGGAAGTGGATAAAAAAGCTACAATTGCTAGGTTTCTTACCGCTAGATGACGATACATGCGTCTACACCAAAGGCTCGGGAAGCCAGATGAGCATCCTGATAGTCCACGTGGATGACTTCATTATTGCTGCACCAACGGATGTCGAAGTTAGCAAAATTGCTGAGGGTATCAAGGGTTTTTTTCCCATTAAAGACCTTGGTGAACCTGCCGTTTTCCTAGGCTGCGCGCTCAGCCGGGACTACGCCAATGGCACTATCACAATGAGCCAGACAGCTTATGTGCATGAAATTTTGAAGAAGGCAGATATTGGCAGCGACATGCTAGGGGTTGACACCCCGATCCTACCGTCCTGGAAAGGCTAAGATAGAGAGGAAGATGAGATGCTAGACGATACGCATTATGACCGTTTTCTCTCCGTTGTTGGATCGATGAATTGGCTTGCTATCAAAACTCGACCAGACATCCGATACACCACCACACGTTTATAACACCGCTCCGCGAAGCCCACCAATGCCGATTACGATGCTATGATCCACCTCGGTCGCTACCTAAAGAAGCACGACAACCTAGGAATTGTACTAGGAAGAGTGAAAGAGCTGAGATTTATTGCTCATGCAGATGCCTCGCATGCCGACTGGCAGGACAGGAAGTCCACCGAAGGCAGCAATTGGTGGTTCGCTGGCGCCCCGATCATGTGGTCTACAAAGAAACAGACGGTAGTAGGATCATCTACTACTGCGGCGGAATGGTGTGCCCTGGATCAACCAGCCAAAGACGCCAAGTGGCTTGCTAAGATAGCATGCCAGCTTGGTCTCCCGAGATACCAGGACCCCATTACCATTTTCACCGACAACATTAACACCCAGCTACTTTTGGCAAAGAAAGGGTGCAAGAACAGCACCAGATGGCTTGAAATACGCTGGTTTTTCGTCAAGAATGCTGTGGCAAGAGGCCATATCGACGTCAAGCGAGCTGACACGAAGCGCAACCCAGCTGACGGCTTCACCAAAGCACTTGACCTCATTGCATTCAAGAGATTCTTGGAGATGCTAGGAATGAAGGCCATAAAGTGAAATTCAATGGCACGGAGAGCATGTAACCTACATGCGATCCAAGGAATGTGAAATGAATTGAGAAAAAGCACGAAATGAAGAGAATTACATGCAAATTGCAACTGGAAAATGGAGAGATTTAATTGGTCAAGCAGGAAGAATTTTTCTAGGACATCAGATGAAGTGGCTCAGGTCCATGGAGGGAATGTTGAGATCACATGACCCAGTTGGTCAGGTGACCTGGATGGTCCTGAGAGTAGAGATAGTCCTCGGAGGGTCGGAGCTTCTCTCCTTCCCCGTCCTTTTCTCCACCAATAATATTGACCTATTATTGCTTCCTTCTCCCTTTGTCTAGAGAAACCCAGTGCTCATCGACTGGTCATACAATGGTCAGGGCAAATCCGAGGATCGACGGAACAAACAAACTCATACCAGATGTACTTTTTAGAGACTGTCATCGACACCTAAACCAAGTTTCGACCCATGACGTGAGATGAAATCCAAGCAAACAAGCCAAGCTTTCTGTGCAGAAACATCTCTTTCAGACATCTCCTTCAGCCAAGCTATAGCCTTTCGCAACTTCGGCATGGTGCTGATTGTGCGAATTGTCCCTAATCTCGTACGAATAAAAGACTCAGTCAAAATCATGGTAATAGACTGCATGAAATAGTGGAGAGCACACCACCATGGACAAACACCATACAGCCAAGTCAAGTCCGGCTTATCAGGTAGTAATTCGAGTAGTTGACCTGCGGCCTGAATGCAAATGGCCGTCATGGAACCAGAGGCATCGATAGGAACGTTCGACATTTCTGGTGATCTGTAAATGAGCCGGCGAAGACAGGGTTGCGTGATAAAAAGCTTTGTCGAATAGAAGTGGAAAGCGAGGCTGGCACATTGACGATTCAGCGGCCTAGCTTTGCTTATGGCTTTGAAATCGTAAAGAGCCGGGAGCGAACTAAGCCAATTATCCGTTTGGTCGTTCAATGAGGAAATCGCAACCTCTGTCTCGATCCATGGCTTATGGGCCGCACCTGGTGCGTAAAGGATATCAATTGCCTTGCGCGTTAAGATAGTGAGACTCGCAGCGTAAAGAAAGCACAACGAGTTGTTTGGTTGTAGCGGTTCCGCTACAACGAGTGCAGTCTTTCGTTTGAGTGATCGTTTGCTTGACGCTGGATAACCTAACGGTACACTTTCGGTCAGGCTATCCTTCGAAATATTTCCACCCCTATTGGAAAGCAACGTTGCCATAAGGCAGCTCCGAGCACCTTTGTCTATAATGTACTGCAAGACATGGTCGCTCTGGAGATTCCCCTCCTCAAAAGGTATAGGAAGCGGTGTTGTGCAGAATACCCCACTAATGCCCGGAGGACGCCCGGTCATCAGAGAAAGCGAAGTATCCAACATATACAAAGCCCACCACACCCGATACCTTATCTCTTTCGATAATGGGGCAACACTCTGACTCTCACTACGGAGATTGAGCCCCATAATCAGAGCAGAGCGGACCGCAATACCACAACACTTCCATGACCTAAAGCAGAAAAGCCGTTAGTAAATCTCGTAGGGACGGTCAATACGAGAGCGAGAATTTAGCACCTGTTGACTTGGCCACGTGAAAGAAGGTAAAAGGCAGCTAACCCCTCGACCTGCACTTGCTGCAAATTAGGATGATTCCGCATAGACGCCTTGTCCATGCTAAGTATCCACGCCCGTGAAAAGTACAATAAATGTGGATATTCATTGTACTCAGTTAGCTTCTTCACGGGCGATAGATGCATTGCCGCAGTAGCAAACACGAAATTCAACACAGCCAACCATTGCTTCCCGGGTTGTGCGGTTGGATCTGAATAATATGATCGGTATTGAGCTACAAACGTCATTTTCCCAATGATCGGGAATGAAGGATGAATGATTTGGAAATACGTGCCGACGAGGTGGTCGGCCATGCCCTGCGAAGGCCGTTCTAACAAATCCACTTCATCTCGTATCCCCATATCCCAGTCATTGTTGTAATAGTTTATAGACGTGACGGATGGTCGAACAACATTCTCCTGGGATGTGGATGGCGTGGCAGAGCTTTGTTCGAGTGCGTATTTGAGCCTGCACAACCATACCATCTCTGAGTGTTCACCCACAAATCCCAGCGCCTGCATTTCTCCAAGGCTATTGAAATCTTCTTCTGTGTAGTCAACGGTGACAGATGGATCTTCTGGTGCATTGTAGGTTTTTGGTAGACCAGGGACAATTAGCGGGGCCCGATCATGGCTCGAAATCTAGGTATTGTCAGACAATGTGAAGAGAATCATTTTGACGATGACCTAATTTAGCTTGCCGCGTTAGGCTGGAAAGGAGAAAG